CCCCTTTTTTTTTTTTTTTTTTTTTTTTTTACTGTCTGATTTCCTACTGAAGTTTCATAAAGAAGGAATATTGTGTCTGTGGGAATGACTCCTGGTAATGCCTTCTCTTACAAATGGGAATCTTACCTAATCTTGTAACCAAAGTTAATCTTATGTTTTGAGATCATTTAACACTATGCTTGTTTGCAGTGTAAACAATTAGGCCTTGGGCTCCTCTCGTAAGCTAAATATATGCCTTTAATCTCTCATGACCCTTCCTAGTCTCTGACCCAGAATAATATATGTGGTGGGGCATGCCCAGCACTCGGGAAGTAGAGGCAGGCGGATCTCTGTGAGTTCAAGGCCAGCCTGGTCTACATAGTGAGTTCCAGGACAGCTGGGGCTACAGGGAGACCCTGTCCCAAAAAGACCAAACAAAAAACCAAACAAAAAAACCAAACAAACCAGAGACTATCATTGAAAGCAATGAATTATCTTGACTGGGTTGCAGACAGTAGGTGGGATTAGATTGATACCATCCATTTGTGGTTTTGTATGCTGTTCTTTCTGGGTCAGTCAGTGTCAGAAAGGGAAAATCCTTCTCTGGTGAAACAAGGTTCCTCATTTCTTTCCCATGTCATTCTTTCCCATGTACTGTTTCACTAAATACAGACCAAGTTCTTTGTTTGAGAGAAAAGTCCTGAGAGAACTCAGAAGGAACAAGTTTTCAGAATGGATTGGGCTCACTCTTGGTTTTAACAGATGCCAAGGATCGGGCTTTCTTTGTTCAGGCATTGACATGTTATAGCATCTCTCTGTCACATGCATCCTGACTCTGCCATTCACCTGTGATGAATTTGTCCACATTTCTAGTATGTGGACAATGATACCTATGTCCAGGGCTTAGAGGATCATCCAGAGTGAAGGAAGCCCAGAAACTTTCTACAAGAGGGCAGGGCCTCTACACAAATGTCCTAACATCTACTGTGGTGGAGATTTTTTTTTTCTTACCAGTCTTTATCTATATTGTGGTAAGGGATAAATAATTAGCAACATTTGGGTTTTTATTTTTATTTATTATTTTTACTTCATGTGTATGAATACTTTGCCTGCCTGTTTGTAAGTGCCCCTATGTCCTGCAATACCCGTGGAGGTTAAAAGAGAGTGTCAGATCCCCTAGAACTGGAGTTATGGATGGTTGTTAACTGCCATGTGGGTACCTGGAACTGAACCCAGATCCTCTACAAGAGCAGCCAGTGCTCTTAACCATTGAGCCATCTCTCTAGCCCTCAACATTTGGGTTTTGTGTACATGAATTCTACTATCTTTTCAGAAAAGCCAAACTGTATGTTGAAGTTTTACCATACCTGGAAAGAAGGGAATAATTTTTCTTCACTTACATTTTTCTTAAATTATTTATGCTACTAATCTGGCTTCATAAAACTATATTCTGGGATTTTCTATGTCAATTTATTTTCCAATGAAAAAACTATGAAGGTAAATGTGTTGTTTTGTAGGCTATAGTACAGAACATCAGAGTAATCTATTGTTCCATAAATGGGTGGACTGGCTGGAAATAGTCATGTACACTCTTAATCCCCGTGTACAGAAGGCTGTGGCAGGAGGACAGAATAACTACTGTGAGTTCCAGGTCGGCCTGGGCTGTATAGTGAATTCCAGACCAGGCTGGGTTACAGGAATAAACTCCATTTTAAAATAAATAAGGTGAACTGCTAAACTTTTTATCCAAAAAATTGTGTCTAAATGTCCATATTCCTTGACAACAGTACTTTTAAGGAAAATTTCATGGTGCCAAATCTGCCATGTTTCTTATTGAACATTTTGTGTAATTCCTTGCAGAATTAGATATAATGATAAAGGCTTGGCTAATAAGACTGATGGAAAAATATTCTCTCTGGTGGCAGTAGCTTCAGAGCCAGTGAAATAGGTTTCAAAAATCTTTCTTACTGGCAACTGTATGTTCAGAACAAAAGCAACAACTACTTTGGCAAACTAAACAGAAATTATTTTTGAGGCTGGAGAAAGACATTTGGATAATGAAATGCCATATTCATTTTATAAATTTTGCTCTTTACTAAAACTATTTTTATCAAGGTAATGGAAGTACTTATCAGACTAATTATATGGATGTATCACATTATCATGACGTGCCTCATAAAGAGATACAAATATTATGTCTCAATAAGAAATGAAAATTACTATGGAAAGTTTGCGATGATAATCCTAAACTTGATTCTTCATGTAGTGTATACCAGCAAACTGATTTAGAGGACGATAGCCGGTGACCACTGTCCCTCCTGCTTGCTCTTTTGCTCAGGTCTTCTTTTCCATCCTAATCGGGGCTTTCAGTGTCGGTCAGGCTGCCCCTTGCATCGATGCTTTTGCCAATGCAAGAGGAGCAGCGTACACAATCTTTGACGTTATAGACAATGTAAGTCCTGCTATTTTAAGGCTGAGGAAGCCATTGAAGGATAGATAATTTAAGTATGGTTATAGGTTATATATTTTCCCATCAAGTGTAACAAGTTATGTAGTAAGATATGCTGAAATAATAGGAAACTAATGACCTCGTCACAGTAATGGATAAAATGAAATACCACTAAAAGTTTATCTAATAATACAATAACACTAATCTCATTTTGGAGAAGTACATGTAAGTACATGTATGTATTAGTGTGTTTTATGGTGCAGGATAAAGATGGTTCTTTTCCTACTTTATTTCTTTTTCATGCTGTAGCCAGATAGAGAATAATATGATTTCTATATAGGAGCAGATAGATGAATTATTGATAAGACCAAATTAACAGTGAGTTTTGCCATGAAACAGGACTCCCAGATTATCACTGAATGTTTTATTTTGACTTTGAAACAATTGTATTTAATAAATTGAATTGACTACAGTAAAAAAGAAAATAGTTTTGACATACTAAAGTATGTTACTACATTTATATAAAGTTCAAAGTTGATAATTGAAATTAGATAACTAAATCTAGTTCTAAACTCTCAATATATTGTAAATTTACATGGCTCCTAAATAACACTGTGTTAATTATTCAGTCAATCTCCTTGACCTATTCTGTTATTGTCACTATTTAGGAATAAATAAGTTTCACTAAATGCTGAGCTGTTTGGGCTTAGACGTTATGTTTTTGTTATTTGAATAAATATGCGTATCTGGCCATTTGAAACATATATGAATATATCCCAAAGATTTAAAGTGAAATGAAATAAAATGAATATTTCCTATGTACTTTTCAGATAAGCCTGTTTTCTGAAAAGAAACATTTCATTAAATCATACATCACACAAACATCCACACAGACACATGTATGCACACATCTTCGCTGTGAATTTGTTCTCATATCAAGGAAATCATGCTGTTTTAGGTTCTATTTGGGAGATTTGCTGAACCTTATTCCTTAAAAATGTAATTGCTTATTCTATGATGAAATAGTCACTGAATTTTGTTTTATTTAGAATCCTAAAATTGACAGTTTTTCAGAGAGAGGACACAAACCAGACAACATCAGAGGGAATTTGGAGTTCACTGATGTTCATTTCTCCTATCCATCTCGGACTAATGTCAAGGTACTGTCAGTAATATTAGTGGGGGTTCCTAACTCAAGTTGATTGTCCAGTCATCTTACTGAAGTCCCTATTATTTTGATTTTTATGTACTTTGTCCCTTTTTTAAGGGAGTTAAATTCCTTTATTTGATACTATTTTTTTTTCAAATTTTACACAGAATTGAATCTCTCAGAGCTTTTCTGTGAAGTGGCTCTCTCTTGCTTTCCCCTCCAGATCTTGAAGGGCCTCAACCTGAAAGTGCAGAGCGGGCAGACAGTGGCCCTGGTTGGGAACAGTGGCTGTGGAAAAAGCACCACTGTCCAGCTGCTGCAGAGGCTTTACGACCCCACAGAGGGTATGGTAAGTGGGAAGAACCAAGTTCTCCAAAGTGGAAGCTAGGTATGAACTGGCCCTTAAGAACTGGGTTCTTACGAATCTGCATGTGAGTCTGAAATGGGTAAAGGGATACAACATTGTAGCGGGTCTGGATAATACACATACTTTTGGGCTGGTGGGCAAATGCCTCCAATAAAGGCCTTGAAAACCACAGAAGCTAGACAAGACTTTCATCTGTTATCCAAATCACTGACAGCATTGCTTCCAGTGAGTTGCTTGATTTGATCAAACATATTCCATATAGCAATGGTGACAACCTGGTGCTCAGAGCCACTGATATCTTAAAACAGCATTAAAATTTTTTAATTTTTATTTTATGTAGATAAATGTATTACTACAGATATGTAAGTGCACCTGTGTCATGCCATGCCTGCAGACATCAGAAGAAAGCATCAGACCCCTGGAACTGGAGTTACAAACTGCTGTAAGCTGCCATGTGGGTGCTAGAACCCAGGTCCTCTGTAAGAGCAGGCAGTGCTTCTAACTGCTAAGCCATCTCTAACCCCTTAAAACAGCATTGAAAGCCAAGCATGGTGGTGCATGCCTTTAATCCCAACACTTGGAGGCAGAGGCAGGTGGATCTCTGTAAGTTCAAGGCCAGTCTGGTCTGGTCTGAATAGTGAATGCTAGGCCAGTTGGGGCTACAGGGAGACTGTGTTTCAAAAAGACCAAAAAAAAGAACAAAACAACAAAAAACAGCATTTAAATTCAGCAAGTCAGTTGAGTTTTCTTAAGCTTTGAAATATCAAAGAAGAGAGTGAAATGGCATCAAGAAATCTGAATCTCTGAAAGGTACATAGGGCATAAGAATAGGATGGAATAGGGCCTGGAGCGATGGCTCAGCAATTAAGAGCACTGGCTGTTCTTGCAGAGGACCCAGGTTCAGTTCCCAGCACCCACATGGAGACTAACAACCATCCATAACTCCAGTTCCAGGGGATCTAACGCCTTCTTCTTACCTCTGCAGGCATTGTATGACACTTATATGTAGGCAATACATTCATAAAATAAAAATAGTAAATAAGTCTGGAATATTCTCCTTTTATGTCTTTTAAAATTTACAAATTCAGACTTACAGAAAACAAAGCAAGGAACTCACATCACATATACCCTTCAGCTAGCTCTACTAATTACTTATATTTTTATCCACTTGCTTTTTTCGTCTCCTTTTGTGTATGTGTACGTACACATCAAATTGTATTTCCTAAGAAATTCTCTTATATAAACAGGAAATAATTATAAAAATTGTTTAATTTACACTAACACACTAGTCATAGTTTATATTCAAGAGTCCCAAGTTAAAAGCATTGAGTTTACCTAGCATTAAAACATAAATAAACAATTGTGAAACAGAACTTTGCAAGGTGCCCTAGTTCCCTCTCTGTTTCTGTAATAAAAGACCCTGACCAAAAGCAACATAGAAGATGAAACGGTTTATTTGGCTTACACTTCCAGGTCACAGCCCATTGTTGAGGGAAGTCAGGGGGAACTTGAGCAGGAGCTAGAAGTAGAAATAGTGAAGGAACATGGCCTGCTGGCTCTCTCAGCCTCATGCTCAACTAGTTTCCTTATACAACCCAGGACCATCTACCCAGGGACTGGTACCATCCTCAGTAGGCTGGGCCCTCTTACATCAGTTAACAAGCAAGACAATCCATCACAGACATGACCACAGACCAACTTGATAAAGACAATTACTCAGTTGAGACTCTTTTTTTCAAGTGATTCTAGGCTGCATCAGGTTGACAATTAATGCTAACTAGGATACAGGGTAAATGTAAAACAAACAACAATAAAAAGGAGTTAAAATAAGATAGACAAGGGCTGGAGAGATGGCTCAGCAGTTAAGAGTCCTTGCTGCCCAATCATGAAGACTGGAGGTCAGATCCCAGCACCCATGTAGCAAGCCAATTGTCTTGTGTTATGCCTGTAACTCCAGTTCTGAGGGAGGATGGGAATAAGAGGGTCTTTGGGGCTTGTTGGCTTCCAGTTTAGTTAAGAAAACATGAGCTCCAGGTTCAAGAAAAGGCCTTGCTTCAAAGGAATAGGTGGAGAATAATAGGAAAACATGTTATGCCCTCTACTAGCCTACACACACAGGTGTACACACACACACGCGTGCACACACACACACACACACAAACCTTTTTTACAAAAAAAGATTTCTTAGAAATGAATAAAAAGTTTTCTGTGACATATGATATTATTTATATGCTTAATAAGTCTCCTTGGGAAAATCTGATACAACTACCTTCATTTAATGAAGTAAACTATAGTTTAGTTCAAATGTTTTCTTTATTTTTTTTTTTTAATAACCTAGTTGAGCTTGGAGAGATGACTCAGTGCTTAAGAGCACTGGCTGCTCTTGAAGACTACCTGACTTTGGTTCCCAGTACCCACATGGTGCATGGTGGCTGACAATCATTCATAATTCCAGTTCCAGGGGATCTAATGCCTTTTTCCAGCCTCTACAGGCATTGCACATAGGTAGTATACATATATACATGCAGGCAAAAACACTCGTACATATAAAATAAAAATAAATAAATCAAAATACACTTTAAAGAATCTCTCAAAATACTGATTGAGGACATATAACCAAAAATATCCTTCCTAAATTATTAATGGAGTAATACATATTTTTTAGAAACTACATATTTAGAACATTTTTAGAAGCTACATAGCCAAGAAAGATGGGTGTAGAAATCTAGGTCAGCAGAGATTTTACAACTCAGGGTTATTCACTGTTCATGTTGTTATGTAGCAATTTTCTTAGCACTAAAATAATGAAAAATGTCCAGGAGAAAAGTTTAATTCAGTTTTTCTATAACCTTCTCTCAAAAAATTAATAAAACTATCATAAGAGAAAAGAATAAATTGTAGCATAGGATTTCTGATCCATGAAAAAAACATTACATTTAGTATTTGAGAAATTAATGTGAATCTATGAAAGCAACCCTGTTGATTATAGGATATGAATAAGCAAATCTGTTGAGAATATAGATTTACAAAAGGTTTTGAGAAATGATCAGTTTGAACTATTGGTTACTGGTGCTTCTGGGGGAGAAACAGTCATTTCTTCAGTTGTATGCCCACCAGGCCCCAATGGATAGTTGCAAACCCATGGTCACACAGGGGCCCTGTTTAAACTTAGTGGGTCAAAAAACAAAACAAAAGGACATGAATGTGGGAAAGAGATTTGTAGGGAGGAGGGGGAGTTCACTGGGGTGAGAGGGAGAAAGGAGAGGGTTATGGGTAAGAATAAAGAGAATACTTTATATACATGTATGAAATTGTCAAAGAACAAATTTAATTAATTAAAAAATGAACAGCTTCACAAAGATTTATTATTTGTCTAGCAAACAGAAAAACAAACAAAAATGAAGTGATAGACCCCAGTGCTAGTAAGGTAAAATGAAGTAGATATGTTGACATTGTACATTATTAAAATTTGTAAAGACTTTTTTATTTAGCTTTTATTCCTTGAACAAGAAATGCCTAGCAGATACCAATCATATGGTTGAACAGTTGTTATTAAGGAAGAACAATAAATTGTTTTTTTTCAACTTGGTAATTCTTTGCTTTCACAACGACTTTTTTTTTCTTTGGTTTTTGAGACAGAATCTCCATGTAGCCCCAGCTGGCTTGGAACTCACTGTGTAGATCAGGCTGGCCTTGATCTCATAGAGATCCGCCCGCCTCTCTCAAGTTGCTGAGATTAAAGTTGTGCACCATCATGCCTGGTCCACTTTTACACTGATTTTTGAAGGAAAACAAATGTCCAAAAAGTAGGACACAATAAAATAAATTATGATATATTAAGTATAGCAAAATTTCAAAATGCCATCACAAGTATATGGAAATGAGTTAGGTATGTGAACATTTTAATTTATTAACATTGGTAAGTGAAAACAATGGCATGCTAAAACATAGCTGGGGCTGGAGGTGCAGCTCAGTAGCAGAACCTTGCCCAAGTATATGGAAGACCCTGGGTTCATTCTTCAGCACTACAACAGACAAACAAATATATAACCCAAAACAGCTTATGTAAAATAATCCATTAATAAAAAATGTGAAAATATCAGGAGAAAGTAGAAGTGCTTTATTTATCCTGCATATTACTGTTTAATTGTTATTTCTAACTTCTGAATAAGTTCAATATTTGCTAAGACTTTCTCATAATAAAGAGTCCTGATGCTTTAGATATCAGGCTGCTTAAAATACTGAATAGGAAATATTCCTTTCTTTCAGATTAGCATCGATGGTCAGGATATTCGGAACTTCAACGTAAGGTACCTGAGGGAAGTAATTGGAGTTGTGAGTCAGGAGCCAGTGCTGTTTTCTACCACAATTGCTGAAAACATCCGTTATGGCCGTGGGAATGTAACAATGGATGAGATAAAGAAAGCTGTCAAAGAAGCCAACGCCTATGAGTTTATTATGAAATTACCACAGGTAAAGCCTCCCTTGGACTTGGAATCGAAACACGTGGGACTGAGTTCTTACTTCAAAGGTTAAGCTAATATTTGGGTTATGATGTTGTACAAACTTGCTGGATAAATCTCTTGAATGATTCAGTTGGGGGTTTAAAGAATATATTCTGTAGGTAAACAATATAAAATTATATACAGAATATGTCTTGGTAATTGTCTTACAATTCAATGTTCATTTATTATAATTTATGAGACATTATGATAGTCATTGCTCTAAGCTGCCTTCATATACTTCTCCAGACTCCCTATACTTTGTATTTAAAACACTTAAAGAAGGGCTGGGGATGTAGCTTAGTGGTAGAGGGCTTGCCTAGCATGCATAAGACCCTGGATTTGATCCCCAACACTGCAAAATTGAATGAACGAATGAATATTTCAAGAGCTTTTCCATGGTTTCTGTCTTTCTTTTTTTGTCTTTTTGAGACAGAGTCTCCCTGTAGCCACAGCTGGCCTGGACCTTGCTATGTAGACCAGGCTGGCCTCGAACTCACAGAGGTCCACCTCCCAAGTGCTGGGATGAAAGGCACGTGCCAGTCACCACGCCTGACTGAGCTTTTTCCATGATTTCTATTGTAGAAATTTGACACCCTGGTTGGAGAGAGAGGAGCCCAGTTGAGTGGTGGGCAGAAACAGAGAATTGCCATTGCCCGTGCCCTGGTTCGCAACCCCAAGATCCTCTTGCTGGATGAGGCCACATCAGCCTTGGACACAGAAAGTGAAGCTGAGGTACAGGCAGCTCTGGATAAGGTCAGTAGACCATAAACACCTAGGGTGTGGGTAGAGAGATGGGACTTTTTGTGAATTTTTGCCAGCTCTTTGGGAGTCTAGATTGATAAACAAACACACAGAGCAAATGAGGCCATCTCCTGGGGATTTATTGATTTCTTCTGACCAGTTGCATTATCTTCAGAGAGGGTGAATGATCCAGGCTGGCTTCCACCATGGTGAGTGAACCAAAGCTTGGGGAAAGAGACATGCAGCTTTGTTTCCTTCTTACACCTGGGTAATGTTTGACAAAATAGTTGTGCTAAAACACGTGAAGAAATCAGAAAATCTATAAAGATGATTTTATGTATAAAATACACAAAAATTCAATTAAAAAATTTTAAAGTAAATTAGGATATTGTAGTTAAAAATAATTATTTAGGTTGTATAGTTCAGTTTATAATTAAAAGCATTCTTTAAAGTCAGATTCTTTATCAGGTTTTTGCTTCGATCAGTACAATTTCTTTTAAAGTTCACTTTGCAGATGCACCTGCTCTGTAAGTTGCCCAATGAGTATTAAAAAGAGTATCATTAATGTCTTCAAAAAAAAAATCAGAAAATCGTTTAAATTTTCCAAGTATTTCTCTATAATTTTTGATGATGACAGTGTTGTTTTCTTTGGTATACAGCACCTTATTCAAAAGTTTAAGCTATTTCTTTATTTATTAATTTTATTAAATAAGGAAAACAAATGCTTGCATTAAATATATGGAAATAGATATGAATAAATATATGTGAATATACACACGTGTATATACACACACATCTTAACCTGGCTACCTAGATACTGGTTCAGATTAAAAATAGCTCAAAATACTATTTCGAAGCAATTAAGTTTCATACCTGCTTGCACACTTAACCTCATCCTAGGAGGGACAAAAAAATAAAACCCAAAAGTTAGCTTTCATGATGATTTTCATAAATATATTCAAAAAAGCTGCATTTGCATTTTGATGTTTTTGTCAATGTTCCAGAAAGACTAACAGACTTCCACTAGTACTTCCTACCTTTCATCCCCACACATGTAAATTAGGAGAAAGTCCAACTTTCTGGACAGTTGTTGTCCTTGTACCTGGAATATTTGCCAAAGTCTTATCATCGGGGTGTCTGAGAGCTCTGGGAAAAAAAATCTATTTGTGTAGCTTTACTTTGGACAGCACTTCTAGGATAAGGGTGAGAGTTTTTAACTTTTAAATTCACAAACATGTATTTTGTTCCTGCCCCACCACTCATTCACTCACAAGTCTGGCAACATAGTCACTGTTAGCAAATTAGTCAGATTGTTTTCTTCCATGTGTTATACAGCTTCTCCATCAGTAAATTCTTGTGAAGGCTGCTTCAAGGTTCACTTATATACAAAAAGTCAAGGAATAGTCTTAAATGTTGTTCAAAAGAGCTACGTTCTGGTCTGTCATTTTTGTGATGCTACTTTTTTATGTTTTCTTAAACACAGTGGAGTCATCTGGATTTATTTAATCATGAAGACTAAAGTAGAAATACAACATTCCTCCCCCCCTCACAGTTACACAGTTATCTCCATACTATTTATTTCCAATCTGAGACAATTCTCTACTAATCGTATACTAAGCTTGTAAATGTTTTATTATCCAGTTTTGTTCTACTAATTAGTTATAGCTTCTCAACTTCAGCTGCTGTAGATTTTGTGTCTTGCTATCTGATGGAGGTATTCTGCCCTTATTAGCTTCTTTTTCAGAATCTGACTAGCTATTGTTTCAAAAATTAAAATATAGCGGCTGGAGAGATGACTCAGTGATTAAGAGCAATGGTTGCTCTTGCAGAGGACCCAGGTTTGATTCCCAGCACCCGCATGGCAGTTAACAACTATCCTTAACTCCAGTTCCGGGGATTCTAATGCCCTCTGCTGATTTCCGTGGGCATCACATGCCACAGGTGCACTTAAAAACATGCAGGCAATGCACTCAAACACATAATATAAAAATAATAAAATATTTTTTAAAAAATTAAAATATAAATCATACATCATGAAAATTTCCATTTTATTTTCCAGTTTCCTACTTTTTAGCTGGAATTATATTAAATGTATTTTAGATGTTATTTGTAAACATAATTGTTAACGATACATTAACTTGTATCAAAGTAATGTATTGTGGCTACTTATGAAGATTCTGACAACTCACCACTAAAAAACCTTGCAATTAAAAAATAAAATAAAACTGGGTTAGAATCACCAAACAAAACAAAACAGAAGTTTCTATTTAAGAATGTATAATTTGGGGCTGGAGAGAAGGCTCAGCAGTTAAGAGCACTGACTGCTCTTACAGAGGACCCTGGTTCGATTCCCTGCACCCACATGGTGGCTATGAACTGTCCTTAACTCCAGTTCCAGGAGAATCTGAAGCCCCCTTCTGACCTCTGCGGCATTGCATGACATGGGTGCACTCATACATACATGCAGACAATATACTCATACACATAAAATAAAAATAATAAAATAAAATTAAAAATAAAAATAAAGAATGTATAATTCAAAGCCTTTAATCCCAGCACTTGGGAGGCAGAGGCAGGCAGATCTCTGTGAGTTCAAGTCCAGCCTGGTCTACATAGCAAGTTCCAGGTCAGCTGGGGCTACAGGGAGACCCTATCTCATAAAAAAAAAAAGAATTTATAATTCAGTGGCATTTAATATGTTCACAAGGTTATGCAATCATCAATATTATCTAATTTTCACTGCCCCCAAAGAAACTAGTTGACTACTCCCCATGTCACTCACTGTCAAGTCAGTCCTTCACAGCTGCAAAGCTGCTTCTGTCTCCAATGGCTTTGCCTAGTCTAGACTGTGGTCTTTTATGACTATCTTTAAATTTTTAATTTTAATTTTATTGTGTATATATGTACGTGATGTGTATGTGTGGATGCATGTGCCACAACATACACATGGAAGTTAGAGGACAACTTTGTAGAGCTGATTCTCTCCTTCCATCTTTATGTGGGTATAGGGGATTGAACTTAGGTTACCAGGCTTGTGAGACAAGCACCTTTATCTGCTGAGCCATCTTACAGACCTTTATTACTGTGTTTTTTTTTGTTTGTTTGTTTTTGTTTTTCGGTTTTTGTTTTATTTATTTATTTTTTTGCCTAGTACAGTATTTCCAAGCTTCATCAATGTTTAATTGGCATCAAATCTCATTCCTTTATATGGCCCGGTGATATGACCTTTATTTATTTATTTTTTTGGTCTTTTTGAGACAGGGTCTCCCTGTAGCCACAGCTGGCCTGCATTTGCTATGGAGACCAGGCTGACCTTGAACTCACAGAGATCTGCCTTCTTCTACCTCCCAAGTGCTAGGATTAAAGGTATATGCTTCCACACCCAGCTTGGTTAACCATTTTTCAATGGATGCACTTTTGGATTGTTCTTTAGTTATTATGAATCTAGCCTGTCTTTCTTATTCATATTTTAATTAGTTTGGTGACTTAAACTGTATTACAATCATCCTAATGATGTAGGCAATGGTCTTAAGAAACTGTTGGTCAAATAGGACTTATAAGTACTGGCAAAAGTAACCACTATTAATGACATAACAGTAATAATTTGGTGGATATTATCCAGGGTTTAAATGTTCATTAACTCCATGAAGGCAACATGTAAGGTTAGAAGGGTGATCTGAAGATTTCAGCATCTATAAAAGACACCGTGTGTCCTTCTTAACAGGAAGCGGTATGGGCCCAATTCAGAAGATCTTTGGGCCATAGTTTGAGCTATCCTTATCCCACCTACACTGAAGTCTTATAGTCTATCAAAATTACAGTTAGGATCAGGCTCTGGAGAAGACTCAGCAATGACCTCTCTAAAACATTTTTACCAGAGTCTCCAGCACACCACACAACTCAGAGCCAGAGCTTTGCAGACAAATCTGCAAACAGTTGATGGGTCAAACCTTTACTTAATTTTCTTGAGTATCAGGTACCATCATAGGCTTCCAGAGTAGTCTGTTCTCACACCAAAAGGGTTGGCCACCTACCTAGTCCAGAACTCATCTGTCTTCTCTTTTATAGAAGAGTGGTGCCTGTGCCCTAGTCATGTAAAGATCTGGAATATAAAGTACTCTCTCATCATCTGCAAATAGCATACACCAAGGACTTAATGTGTGTGATAACCGACAGCATGCCAGTACTGTAACCCTGATGCACCACAGTTTCATCCTTTTCCCCTTTAGGCCAGAGAAGGCAGGACCACCATTGTGATAGCTCACCGACTGTCTACAGTCCGAAATGCAGATGTCATTGCCGGGTTTGAGGATGGAGTCATTGTGGAGCAAGGAAGTCACAGTGAGCTGATGAGGAAGGAAGGGGTCTACTTCAAACTTGTTAACATGCAGGTACTGACTGCCCAGGATTTTTTTTTTTTTTCTGTTACTGTCTGGTTGCTGATATAATAGTCTTTAAATTATCAAAATTGATTACGGTTAATGGTATACCGAAAAGTAGGAACTGGGATGAGACATAAAAATAAAGTAAAACTGAAATCTTAATACAGAGTCTAGGGAAAAGAGAAGGGGTTGGTGGAAGAAAGACAAGTGTCAAAAACATGATAATGTGTTCATTAGGACAGTGAGTGTTGATTTCCTGGGGAGGTGTTTCCTACTGTAAGACTGGGGACTATCCCAGCCATGCCACTTAAAAATGCTTCACAGGACAGACCTAGAAATACCAAACAAGATTTGTGGCTCTAGGAAGTGAATAGTTTGTCTTAAAAAATTGCTTACTCTATTTTCCCAACTCATGTTTTAATGAGAATTATTCGTGTGTCTTATTAAACATGGTATTTTATTGCGCTTTAACACAAGTAAAGGTGCACAATAAGTAACCTAAAATTTTCCTATGACTATAATTCATAAATTTTCAAATTCTGTACATTTAGTTTAATATTGTGACGGGCATATTCACATGCATTCTGGGTTTTCTTCTTTCACATTTGAGGTGACATTGTTAAAATATCATGATTTTGAGAGAGTGGCTGCCGCGGGACGCGCCACTATGTCTCCCAGCTTGCTGCGGCTTTTGCCCCAGCTCCTCATGCTGGGGTTCGGACTGGTGCTGATGCGCGCTGCAGCCAGGTAGCAGGCACCAGGCACCACCCCCTGTTGTAGCGGCAGCTCCCGGAGCGCGGACTTGGACAAGTGCGTGGACTGTGCGTCCTGTCCCGGGCGACCACACAGCGACTTCTGCTTGGGATATGCCGCGGCACCTCCTGCCCGCTTCCGGCTGCTTTGGCCCATCCTGCGGGGGCGCTCTGAGCCTGGCCCTAGTGCTGGCCCTGCTTTCCGGTTTCCTGGTCTGGAGACCGTGCCGCAAGAGAGAAAAGTTTACCACCCCGATAGAGGAGACTGATGGAGAGGGCTGTCCAGGTGTGACATTGATCCATTGATGAACTCCGATGAGCTGGTGCCCGTTCATCGTTCATTCATTCATCTGGAGCCAGATTGGCTTTCCAGACACAACGGAGCCAGACTCTTCCAACCATACGGGGGTGGGGTGAGGTGATGATTCACCTCCAAGGACTGGGCTGGGGATTCAGGGGAGCCCTCCAAGGTGTCTGAGTGCCCTGTCTCTGGCTCCAGGATGAGGCCAGCATGAGGCTGTCATCTGGCTCACAAAGCAACTCAAAATGACTAAGAAACTGCAGTATTTGCACAAAGGTGCCTCTCACCCTAAGTCCAGAAGGTCTGGCTGACTTAAGGGGCAGACACAACACTAGATCCCACCCACTCTGATTGACTGAAAACCTATCCTGGGTTTCAGCCTATTGGGGTTAGAGACCTGTTTTTAACACTAGGGGGCTGGCTCTCTGGGAGGGCTGGCCCTAACATATGGACCCCCCCCCCTCCCCCGAGTCCCCCAAGGGGTGGAAGAGGAGATATTTATTTTGGGGAGAAAGTTTGGAGGGGAGGGAGAATTTATTAATAAAATAATCTCTAACTTAAAAAAAATCATGATTTTAATTAGCAGTAGTTACAAGGAATGTGTGGAATTACTTGCTCTTTGAATCTGAATACCTGATTTATTTCAGTATTTTTTCTATTTTAAACATTTTACGTATGAGAAGAAGCAGGCTGGGGAAATGTATTTAAATTTTTTCCATTTCCTGACAAGCAACAACTGAGTTTCAGTTTCTGCATTTGGAATAGTAAACTTACCGTGAGTGATTGTTATAAATTTAAGAAATAAACAACTGGTGGTTGCTTATTTCACAGAAAAAGTTGGACCTATAGAAGAAGAGAATAGAATAATGGTTAGTAGATGCTGGAAATGGTGGGAGGGACAGGGAAAGGATGGTTAGCAGGTATAGAGGGGAAGGCAGAGGGGAAGAATAAAGAATATTCTGGACACAGTGGGGCAACTGCAGTTGACAACAATGAATAATGTATTTCAAAACAACTAAAAGAGAGAATTTCTTTTTAGTTCTGGGGATTGAACCCAGGGCCTTGTTCATTCAAGGCAAGTGTTCTGCCACTGAGCTATATTCCCAGCACAAAGAGAAAGAATTTTGAATGCTTCCAACAAAAATGATGTCTGGAGGTGATCAATAGGCTAGTTACCTTTATCAGTCTTAATGACAACATACCTGTGTTGAAATATCACACTAGTAGCTAGGGAGATAGCTCAGTCTATAAAGTGCTTGCCCTATTAGCATGAAAACCTGAGTTTCTTCCTGAAAACCTGTGTAGAAAAGCTGGGCAGGGTGGCATGCACATATGTAATCCCAGTGCTGGGAGGCATCCACTCTAGCCTAATTGGCAAGTTACACACTAATGAGAGATCCTGTTTGAAAAAAGAAAGAAAGAAAGAAAGAAAGAAAGAAAGAAAGAAAGAAAGAAAGAAAGAAAGAAGAAAGGAAAGAAAGGAAGGAAGGAATCAAGAAGCAAGTGGACAGCACCTGAGAAACACCTGAAGTTGTCCTCTGGCTTCAATTTGCACATTCACACAGCTGCACACATTCTCACACATACATTTGCACCCCCACATGAACACGTGCACATACACATACACACACACACACACACACACACACACACACACTCAAAGTACCATACTGCACCCAATAAATGTGTATAATACATGTCAAAACATGTATATTGGGGCTGGAGAGATGGCTCAGCGGTCAAGAACACTGATTGTTCTTGCAGAAGACCCAGGTTCGAATCCCAGCACCCACATGGCAGCTAATAACTGTCCGTAACTCCAGTTCCAGGGGATCTGACAGCCTCTTTGGTCTTCTGTGGGCATTGCTGACCTGGGTGCACTTACCTACATGCAGGCAATACACACATACGCATGAAATAAAAATAATATTTTTAAAAAACAAATATTAATATATTATGTATATAACAAATCCTTAAAAGAAAAAAATAGCAACATGAATATCTGCATATATTGACAATTACTGAAATATTTGAAAGGGTGAATTTATGATATTTTAATTATGTCTCAATAGATTTTTTTTTTTTTTGGTCTTTTTGAGACAGAGTCTCCCTGTAGCCCCAGCTGTCCTGGAACTCACTACGTAGACCAGGCTGGCCTTGAACTCACAGAGATCTGCCTGCCTCTGCCTCCCAAGTGCTGGGACTACAGGCGTGCGCCACCATGCCTGGCCTTTAATAGGTTTTTTTAAAAGAGACTGACACGAAGTATACGCATGCTCTAGATGGTTATTACAACTTTCAAATTCCCAAAAGTGAGTATATCAAAGGAAATATAGAAAGTTTTGGGTCTTTTTTTTTTTTTTGACAGGTTCTCCCTGTAGCCCCAACTGGCCTGGAACTCCCTATGTAGACCAGGCTGGCCTTGAACTCACAGAGATCTGCCTGCCTCTGCCTCCCAAGTGCTGGGATTAAAGGTGTGCGCCACCATGCCCAGCTGAAATGATAGAAAGTTTTATAATTTAGACTTACACAAAGCCTCTTTATCATTTTGCTAATTAAAAGTATATACAATTGGATGGTTAGTGTTAATTGTTAACTTGATAAAATCTAGAATCCTGTGAGAGTCGGGCCTCTGAGCCTACCTGTGGGAGATTGTCTTGATTTCGTTAATTGATGTGGGAAGACACATCTTATTTGTGGATGGACAACTCTCTGGGCAGGGGATCCTGCAGAGAGTGGAGAGGGAGCTAAGTTGCAGCATTACTGCTCCCTGCTTCTTGCCTGTGGATGCGACATGACCAGCTGCCTCAAGCCCCTCTAGCGAAGAACTGGAACTGCTAGCCAACCAACCCTTTCTCGCTCCCTAGTGTTGCTTTTGCCAGAATGTTTTCCATAGCAACAGGAAAAGAAATGAAGACAATAATGGTACTTTGAATCCATTTTAGTTTTTTTCAGTATGATTATTAGAAGGCAGTGTGATTTTAACTATGATAACATGAGATTCTCAAGTGAAACAACCCTTTGTCCTTGACGGTCCCACTTCTTTGTTATCCCTAGGACTGGCCTTCCACCACTATAAGGACTTTGGCTGGGAGACTGCCAGACTGCTCTAATCTTTCTGTATCATATTCTCTAGGCTTTGTTTCCTAGGGAAATGTATACATTTTTTTCAATCTAAATGGTAGCCCAGTATGATTTTTTAAAAATAAACAAACTAGGCCATAGCTTTAAGCAAGTCATTTAGCCAAGTTTGGTCTTGCTATATTATATTGTTAACTTAGTAGTGCTTGCGCTCAAGTATCCTTGGATGCTCCTACAGCTCTAGAATTCTTTGATTCTTTGTGAATATTTCCACCTTGGTAGCTCATTCTGCTTACTTTTGATTTGGGCTTTGCTTCCCAGTTCCTTGCTGGTCTTGTTGGAGAGATGGAGGATGGAGCCATGGTGAGCCTGCGGGTTCACATGCTACTCAATTTAGTGCTGCTGCTTTCTTTCAGCTCTCAACCTAGTTTCCATTCAATTTTGTCTTGGCTTTGGTTCTCCATTAGGATTCAGTTGGCTCTTAGTTGTGCCTTTTAAACAGATCTTAATTTTTTCTTATATAAATGTAAAATATTTTTGTTCCTCAAATCCAAGCATTTTGAAAAATCTAAGTTTTTCTCTAAAAGTAAGACATTGGCATCACACACAGCTAATTTGATGTCTATTCTTCATCTTTATTATGTAAAAGAACGAGATGGTACCTTTAGATTTCTTACTGTTTGTGGGATGGAGTATTACTTCACATGTTCGTTGGCAATCTATATTTTTTTTCCTCTGGGAAAAGCATTTTGTCCTGTATTGGGCTGTTTTTCTATTGTAGTGCTTGTAATATTCTTATTAATAGGATCTCTTTGCATAAGAATGAAATTTGCTAGTGTATTAGTTACTTTTCTGTTGCTGTGATAGAAACACTG